TTTTGAGAGAGAATTTGATGCACAAAAATGTATCTCTGGAGGTAATTTGTCATTCAAATTGTGCAAAACGTATAAAACTCTCTTCGGATGAATCCAAGGAGCTATCACGTAGCAATATATCTGAGCTTCCTGTAAAGTATTCTAAGAAGTCTATTTTTCATAATATTTATTGCAATATCATCTCGTGTATTAAAGTTTTATATTTTATTTTTGCAGGATGAAATATTACTAATGATACTAAAAAACTTGGATCTGATGACGTTATGTCGCTTGAATTATGTAAATAGACGCTTCAATGATTTGATACGAGACCCACGACTCTATACACGGTTAAATATACACTGTTCACCTTCCGCAGAGTATTTTGATAATTTTCGGCTAAATATGGCAACACGCGATATGAGCAATATATTTTGTTACTTTAAGGAGGTTCTACAGATAATGGATGTATCTAAAAATTGGAAAAAACTTTATGGACGTGTAAATTGAGATGCAAAAAAAGTGCTCAAAAAATTTTAGCATCGGTTTACCGTGTAAAAATTTGCAAAAATGAATTTTGAAATCACAGTTTTTAACATAAACTACATATGGCAGAGGGGCTCTTGGAGACAGGAAACGAGATATTAATTATATAAAGGCGACCCACCAAAGCTCAAAAAACGGAGCTCTTATAGATCTTAATCTAAGCTTTTCAGAAATATCGAGAAAAACAAGGGTTATCGCGTAAAATTTTGTGATATTGGCTATTGAAACAGGCCATATCACAGTTCACGTAGCGTGCTTCGAATAACAAGGGAGATTTGGCAATGTCGCAGCGACTGCACCCGCGCGAAAAGTGTACAGCCAGTACAGCACCACAGTATGACAGCACCTCAAACTTAAGCACCTAACGTTTACGAGCGCTTACGGAGAATACTCGCTCTAGAATTATGTGAAATTGTGAAATAACCGTGGTCATATGAGCAGAACTGTCAAGTTCGCGACGTTACCACATTTTCTTCCATTATAAGCCGCCAGAGTCAAAGGAGCACTTACACGATATTTTTAATTATTCCTCGCTTCGACTAATATGAGTATGATATAAGCTCTAACGTCATCAAAATTCACGAAAATATTTTATGAATACTTAGAACCGATGAATTTGAAGATTTTCTCTTCATCTCTCAACTGACTAGAGAGTATCTGTAGAACCTCCTTAAATCTAGATGTAAATATTTGCAGCAGTTAGATCTTACAAAAAGTATATTTAGTGTTGAGGATTTTAACAACTTTTTTGATAATTGTGGTAGGCGTTTAACGCACTTAAGATTAGGATACTGCCATTCTATCCATAATCTTGCCCTACTTAAAATTTCAGAGATATGTGTAAATTTGAAAGGTATATATATACATATATAAAGTATATGAAACATGTGATTGTCGGGATTATTGGTGAATTGTATATGTCCAACACATATCTCTTTTTAGAATTGAATCTTGATTATTGTCATGGCATAGACGACAAAGGATTTTCGTATCTCGAGAAATTAAATGGTTTGGAACATTTAAACCTTCGTAATACAAGTATAAAAACTGAACGCCTTTACAAAATACTGCAAAAAAATCAACGGATGCGTGAGGTCAATTTTAAACTTTCAGTCTGTATGAGAAATACAGCTTTAATACAGTTTATAAATTTGTGTCCTAACCTGGAAGTAATACGTTTAGAGAACTTTATTAATTATACATCGCAGGATATTGACGTTCTCGCTGACTGTAAGAATTTACGAAAAGTATATCTTCCCCGGTAATAAGTGTGTTTTTTAATTTTTTTTAAATACATTACTATCAGAGAGAAACCTGAGAGCGGCCACCGGGATCATTCCGTTCCAGCGGACGTATACTGACGCGCCACCTGAGAAAGTGGACGTCAACTACGTTGTTACGCTCGGTAACGATTAGAGAGAATTCGGGTAACGATACATGGGTT